CCCTCTGACAACATGACCAGTATGTATATTGGTGCTATATGTATATATATAATGCTCCAAGGAACATTCTGCTGCACTTCTTCCAGGACAGATCTGTTTGCTCTTCTGTCAGTCCATGCTACTTTTAGTATTCTTTGCCAACACCACAGTTCAAAGGCATCAACTCTTCTTTGGTCTGCCTTATTCATTGTCCAGCTTTCACATGCAAATGAGGCAATTGAAAATACCATGGCCTGGGTTTGGAGCCCCTTACTCTTCCAAGTGACATCTTTGCTTCTTAACACTTGACAGAGGTCTTTTGCAGCCGATTTGCTCAGTGCAATATGTCTTATTTCTTGACTGTTTCTTCCATGGGTGTTGATTATGGATTCAAGCAAAATGCAATCCCTGACAACTTCAGTCTTTTCTCCATTTATTGTGATGCTGCTTATTGATCCAGTTGTAAGGATTTTTGTTTCCTTTATGTTGAAGTGTAATCTATACTGCAGACTGTAGTCTTTGATCTTCACTGGTAAGTGCTTCAACTCTTCCTCACTTGCAGCAAAGTTGTGTCAACTGCCTATCACAGGTTGTTAATGAGTCTTCTTCCAATCCTGATAATACATTCTTCTTCATATAATCCAGCTTCTCAGATTATTTGCTCAGCATACAGATTGAACAAGTATGGTGAAAGGATACAGCCCTGGCACACACCCTCCCTGATTTAAAATCATGCAGTATCTCCTTGTTCTGTTTGAATGACAGCCTCTTGATCTATGTACAGGTTCTCATGAGCACAATTAAGTGTTCTAGAATTCCCATTCTTTGCAATGTTATCCATAATTTGTTATGTGCCTTCTCACTCAAACAAATCTCACTGCCTTCGAGTTGATTCTGACTCATAACGACTCCCATAGGGTTTCTGAGGCTATAAATCTTGATGGAAGTAGATCGCCCCATCTTCCTTTCATAGAGTGGCTGGTGGGTTTGAACCACTGATCTTCTGGTTAGCAGCCAGATGTCTTATCCACTATGCCACAAGGGCTCCTTTATGAGCCTCCTAGGGACTGGTATTTCTGAACCACCCTTCTTTCTCCTTTTTCTCTGGACCCTTTCCAGAATCCTTCCAGCAGCCAGAGAATTCCCCTTTCTTTGAGGCCTGGACCATAGTTTTGCCTAATGTGTGCGTTCTATGCAGATGGCCCAGCTTGGCCTGTCTCAGATGGATGCAGGAGTCCCCATGGAATAGTAAGCAGAGGTTGGGTGGCCTTATGCTAAATCCTGGTTGTGTCACTTGTTGGCTGTGGAACCTGGGATAGTTTCTTAGCTTGGATAATAAATGTGATTGGGTTAGTACTTATCAAGCAGATAGCCTTGTTGTGTCCTCAAGAATTCCATTTTATTTTTAAGCCATATGAAAATGACTCCTGTTTGGAGGAGAAAAGATGAGAGTGAGACAGGAAAATAGACCTTTAATACCTTCCCTCACACTCCCAGAGAGTGAGTGATAAGCTCCAAAAGCAGATTTGACCCCACAGAGATCAATAAGGATTCCCACTTCCTCACGCAAGCCCTGTCATAGGCATCTAGTGTTGTGTTGCTATAACAGAATTACCCCAAGCAGGTGGCTTTCACAAACAGAAATGTATTTTCTCACAGTTCAGGCTCCTACTCATAGCAATGCTATGTGTGACAGAACTAAATGCTGCCCAGTCCTGCATCATCCTCACAGTCGTTGCTATGTTTGAGCCCATTATTATAGCCACCGTGTCAAGCCATCTCGTGAGGGTCTTCCTCCTTCTCAGTGACCCTCTCTACTTTATCAAGCATTATATGCTTCTCCAGGGACTAGTCCCTCCGATAACACATTCTAAATACATAAGAGGAACAAATTCTTGCCCTCTCACTTCTAAGGAACATTCTGGAGGATACAAACCAAAACCCAAACTCACTGCCGTTGAGTTGACTCCAACTCATAGCAACCCCCACTGGGTTTCCAAGGCAGTAAATCTTTACAGAAATTGCCCCATCTTCCTTCCATGGAGAGGCTGTTGAGTTTGAACTGCCAATCTTCTGCTTAGCAGTCAAATGCCTTGGGCACTGAGCCACTAAAGCTCCTTTTCTGGAGGATAGAAGTCCAAATTCATGGCACCAGCTCTACAGAAAAGCTTCCTTTGTCTGTGGCCCGTTCCTTGTTGATCTTCATGTGGTATAGCGTCTGTCTTCTCCCATCTCTGCTTGCTTTTCTATGCCTACTCTGCTCTTTTATATCTCAAAAAGGGTTGCTTTAAGACAAACTCTACGCTAATACTGTCTAATAATTGTAACAAGGAAAATGCATTCCCAGATGGGATTATAAGCACAGGTATGGGTGTTAGGATTTATAACACATATTTTGAGGAGACACAATTCAATCCACAGCAGACCTCTAGAATAATGATTTAAGATCTTATAAGCAACAATGTACTTTAAAAAAATGAAGTTTCACACAAAACTATGTAATGTGTAAAAGCAGACTTTTGTTAATAAAAATGTGCTTAAATTAAAATTTATAATAAAGCCAATCAGAAAATGAAGCAGTTTTGATTAATGTAAAACTCACTCATTGGGTTTCCAAGGCAGTATCACTACGGAAGTAGATTGACCAACCTTCCTTCCAAGGAGTGGCTGGTGAGTTTGAACCACCAGCCTTCTGGTTAGCAGTCAAATGCCTTAAGTACTACACCACCAGAGTTCCTTTGATTAATATAGAAATTGAAATAGAGGAGATAACAAATAACTGTTAAAGGACTTTTTCTTAGAATGTACGGATAAGTAGTAGCAAATTATAATTTTCTTTTCTTAACAGTTCTTGCAGTCAAGGGATATTGATTAATTCCAAAGCTGCCGAAAATACACAGATAAGCATATATACTGTTAATATGGAAATGAACTTTTAAGCTATTAATTTAATGTATATACATTTAAAAAATAAATTTAAAGTAAATGTTGAAATGTTTGAAACACTCCATAGAATCCCAGGGTTTGGCAGAAGACTGTTTGAAACAGACTCTCTTGGATCTTCAAACATTCAATTCTCAATTTTCTCTCAGATTCCTGTATTATTGTGACATGTGTGTGCTTGCTTGGGGCCATCTATACAATTTTCAATACTAAAACGATTTGATGTAAAAGCCAGTGAAATCTGAATAAGTCTGTTGTCTGGTTGACAGCGTTGTATAGAGGTTGATGCTGATGCCCTGGTTCTGATATTGTACTAGAGTTATGTAAGATGTTATCATTGTGGGATACTGGCTGAAGGGTACATGAGAGTGTACTATTTTTGCAACTTACCAAAGTCTATAATTATTTTTTCAAAAGCTTAAAAAAAAAGTCTAAAAATGATTAAAAAAAAAAAAAAAGATCTTTCAGTTAACTGTTAGGTGGCTATACAAGCAGAATCGTGGAGTGGTGCACATAGAACATTCATAGACTGGCTTTCCATTTATCTTACCTTTCGCCACAATGCAACCCACTGCAGTCAAGACAGACCCAACTCATAATGACCACTCCTTGGGTTTCCAAGGTGGTGTCACTATAGAAGTCGGTTGTCCACCCTTCCTTCTGAGGAGTGGCTGGTGGGTTTGAACCACCAGCCTTCTGGTTAGCAGTCAAATACCTTAAGCACTATGCCACCGGAGGTCCCTATCTTACCTTAAGGGGAAAAAAAACAAAACTAAAAACACTTCTTCTTTCCTTGCAACTGAATTCTATAAACACCACACTTACTTTGTCACCTACTGTGATACTGTTAAGGTTTCAGAAAGAAAACACAGCAAGTCAACGAAAGCTCCCTTTTAGGAAATCTATTTTAGTTGCTGCTTCATTACTAATAAGAAAATGGTGCTAAAACACCAAGAGTCCAGTCTGCAGTGACCTGATAACAGAACAAGATGTGTGAATGGCGTTGCATCTTTTCCTGAAACATTTCTATGCTTAAAACATTTAGTAAGTAAGCCAAAGCAGTCACAACATGTCATAAATGTCCAAATCATAGTATCCCATAGCCCTGTGTGACAATACGATGTAAGAGTAATCTACAGGGGAAAAGGAAGAGTTAAAAATACCTGAAAAGGAGTAAATAAGCCTCTGGGCCATGCACTTCCCTGTGTGTAAAGTACAAATGGGCATATGGTCATGAAATACGGTTTTCTGTTCCCTTGGGTTTTACAATGTGCTGTAAATTACTGCCTAGTACTTTGATAAGATTGATGGTGGTTTTGCCCTTTATCGTTTGGAGACACAACAGAATTCCCTGAGCCAGCCAATCTATCTTCATTGTAATTTCCAAAGTGTTCAGGCTCCAAATATACCTGAAAGAGTAATTGTTTCCTGTGTTTTGACTACAGTAGATTGGTGGTTGTTGCTCACATCAGTCAGATACCTGTGAAGATGAACGGGTTAATAACATCTTCTTTAGTAGAATTTAAGGAGCCTTCATGGCTCAGTAGCACTTGGCTGCTAACCAAAAAGTCGTCGGTTTGAACCCACCAGCTGCTAACCAAAAAGTCGTCGGTTTGAACCCACCAGCCGCTCCATAGGAGAAACATGTGGCTGTCTGCTTCCTTAAATATTTACAACCTTGGAAACCCTTTGGGACAGTTCTTCTCTATCCTATAGGGTCACTATGAGTCAAAATTGACTCGACAGCAATGGGTTTTAGCAGACTCTTTAGTGTGTACTAATATGATTCCATTTTAAAAAAGAAGAAGAGAAGAAAAGGAACCGAGCTTATTCAGGAATATAAAATACCAAGACCATAATGTCCTTTGGCATAAAGCAAGGCTCACTCAGGATTAAGCACTCAACTATTAGCCGAAAGGTTGACAGTTCTACTCTGCAAACATGGGGTTGCTGTGAGTTAGAACTAACAACAATAGCCGTTTCATGCCGCCTGTGTAGACTTTGGCTTTGAGACAGGCACTGAGCTCTGGGCATCCTGAAAATCCCTGCCTAACCGGCTTTTCTGGCTTCCTCTACAGGGTTATCAATGCTGGAAAGAGCACACACAATGAAGACCAAGCCAGCTGTGAGGTACTCACTGTGAAGAAGAAAGCAGGGGCCATTACCTCAACCCCAAACAGAAACTCATCTAAGAGACGGTCCTCCCTTCCCAACGGGGAGGGGCTGCAACTAAAGGAGAACTCGGTAAGACCCTCGTTCATCCTTGGTTCTCAGACCCCACAAAGATGCTTGAGCTTAGTCTAAGATGTGTGATGGGAGAGAAAAGCAGTGTCCCAGAGTGTCTGGAGTTGTGAGTCTCGGTGGGTCTGTACTCAGGGCCTCCCACATTCAATGTACAAGGTGACATGGATGAAGAACTGACATTTAGGATTTTAACATTAAAGCAAATAAGGAGCCCCTGAGTGGTGCAGATGATTAATGCTTTCAGCTACTAACCAAAAGGTTACTGGTTTGAGTTCATCCAGAAGCACCTTGGAAGAAAGGCCTAGTGACCTACTTCTGAAAAACCAACCATTGAAAATGCTATGGAACACAATTCTGCTCTGACACACATGGGGTTGGAATTTACTCAATGGCAACTGGATTGTAAGTACACAAAAACCCCTATATATAGGCTTAGATGCAAGAATTTAGATACATAATGTTAACCCTTCAAATAGTACAGAAGAAGGCAATTCTTGGTTTTTGTGAAGGAAACAGTCTAGAAGCCTCTATGAATGTAGAAATAACTCTTAGCCATTAATTTATGGTTTTAACTCCTAACCATAGCCGTGCTGTGACTTAGCTACTCCGTTCCTCTTGCCTGACATTGTAGTCGTCCAGCTGGAGCCTGTGCATGACATGCTTCCCAATTCATCCTTGTTTGAATTGGCCCAAAGCCCATGTGGCACATGTGGTGGCCCTGCAGACTGAATGGCCTGTTGACACACCACAAAGCACTTCTCCTCTCTCCACTTTTGGGAGAAAAAGGCAGACATATCCTTGAGAAGGGCCAAAGAACCACTTCAGGAGGAAAAAGGAATGATTAGCACTCTGTCCGTCAGCAGGTTGATGCTTTCTAGGGAAAGGTGTTTGCTGGGAAAATCGTATGTTGAATAGGAAGACCCAAATATGATTATTTATTTTAAAAATCTTGAGAATAATTTTGAATATAATTTTTATAGGAATTTAGAGGGTCTAGGAATCTCTTCTTTGTGTAAGAAACAGTGTCTCATTGCATTTATGCTCAGGAAACAATAATAATAAGGGTATTGATTTCTTTTATTAGCACTAGTTCAACACAACTCGAGGCTTAAATTTTTTCTTCAGTTCTTTCAGTTTGAGAAATGCTGAGCGTGTTCTTCCTTTTTGGTTTTCAGACTCCAGGTCTTTGCACATTTC